GGTAGCGCAGATCATGTCCATATCTCAAATACTGGGCGCTATGTACCTATTATGTTATCTGTCGATCTAAACCTTTTTCCATCAAGCCTTAACCAAAACCTGAAGTACTTCAGCCTCGATTCCTAATCCTGAGGCCAAAATCTGCAATGATTTAGCCTCAATCCACAATCCTTAAGCAGTTTAGTTCAGTTTCAGTTTGTACAACCATCAACCATACACCTTCGTGCACCGGTTTTGGTTGTTGTCTTTTGGATGCTGCCCATTTGGATGAACAGGAAAGGTTGAAAGTAAGATCGAAGAGAAAGTTGAAAAGTTCAATGGACTAATGATACAGAGAAATTGAGAAGATGCACGAATGCCACTGTTTACGACACCCAGCCATATCACTCAGTGTAGCTAACCATCGGGTACGACCATCCCGAGGTCTCAGCCAGGGAGCCTAACGGCACCTATGTGACTTAGTCTCCTGGTTAGGGTTTTCATAACCTCGTTCCAGGTCTTAGCTTGACCACCCTGGGCTTTACCTGTCCCGAGGAGCATCGCTCGCCCTGGTAACCCTTTTGGCGATATGCGTAATACATGCTCCAACCAACGTAATCTATGGAGCTCGATCACTACGTCCAGTGGACGACCGTATTTACCCAAAACTCTGCGCCTAACCTCAGCATCGCCCGTCCGGCTGCCCCACTAGACACGTGCAATGCTGCACAGACAGCGGTGTTCAAACACCGACAGTCTATCTTTATCCTGTTTTGTTAATGGCCAAGTTTTTGCACCGTAGAGCAGAACTGGTCGAACTGCTGCAGCATACACTCGACCCTTCACAGACAGCCGGATGTCGCGACAGCGCCACAGATGTCTCAAGTTAGCAAATGCCAATCGAGCCTTCTGTATGCGAGCTGACACTTCATCCGTGATGCGTCCACTGGGTGAGATATGGCTGCCCAGATAACAAAATTTCTCCACCTGCTCTATTACTTCCCCAGTTAGAGTGAGGCTGGGTGTTGGACCAACCCAGTTTTGTAGTAGCATTTTACACTTTGAAGGTGCAAAACGCATACTAAACATGGACACGCCAGCACTCAAACTTTCCAGAAAAGCTTGTAACTTACATGGATCTTCACTTAGTAGCACCATGTCGTCTGCATACTCTAGATCAGACAGTCTGCCATCTGGGAGTAAATCGATACCATTATCCTCGCACGAGGATAGGGCTATTTCCATAATCAGATCTATAGCAAAGTTAAATAGAAAAGGGGGGAGAAGGCAACCCTGTCGAACACCACTTTCTGTGGTGAACTCGGGTGAAAGCGTGCCGTAAGCTCGTACTCGGCTTCGGGTATAAGTATAGAGGGATTGTAATATTGAAATGAACTTCTCGGGCACACCCTTCAGAGAAAGGCAGCGCCAGAGTTTAGGGCGGTCGACTGAGTCGAGGGCCGCTTTAAGATCCAG